GTCTCCCACAGGACACCAGGACTGAGGTCAGCCTCGTGGTCACTCACACTAACACTACGGTCTCCCACAGGACAACAGGACTGAGGTCAGCCTCGTGGTGGACTGGGTATCATTCATTGTTGTTAAATGCTGTCAAATCAGTTCTGACTCTTAGTGACCCTGTATAGGGTTTCTGAGAAACAGTTAGCAGTTCAGTGATTGTCCTACAGTGCCACACAAGGGCTCCAGGTACCGCTGTTAAGTGCTGTCAAATCGGTTCCGACTCATAGAGACTCTGTAGAAGGTTTCCAAGGAGCAGCTGGTGGGTTTGAACTACCAACCTTGTAGTTAACAGTTCAGTGCTTATCCTATATTGTTTATACCAGGACTCCAGGTGCCGTTAAACCTCCTGCAAATTGGAATGTCTGTTCCCCAGAGGTGTCTTCTGCGGCAATAACCCACTGAGCACAGCACAATGGGTGTTGTGTGAAGATAGTGGTATCTTCATCTCCCAGCATGCCATAACAAAGTGCCACTGCGTGGATGCCTTAAAGTGGCTGGAATTTGTGGCCTTAATTCTAGAAACCTGGAGTCTGAATTCAAGATCCTTCCTTGTCTCTCCAGCCTCCAGAACCTCCTCCTGGTCCTTGTCTTGGAGGAGCGTGTAATCTGTGCTCATGTGGCCATCTTCCCAGCATCTGTGTGTCTTCTCTTTTCTAAGACACCACTCAGATGTGGTGAGGAGCCCACCTTCACTGCACGGGACTTTCTTTAATACCATCGGTTTTGAGGCTGTCTGCCAACCTCATGATTTGCCCAGATAAAGACACTTAAAACCACGGGTTCCAGCTTAAGACCTGTCATCTTCTGATTGGACTTATGTGATCACATCTTCAAAGACCCACTCTCCACAGGTAGAGGGGTCAGGACTTGTCCCTAGCTTTCTGGGTACACAGCGCAGTCTGTCACAGGGCCTGTGCATCAAAGCTAGGCTTCATTTTGCTTTTTTAATTTTCTTCGTGGCCGAGGCAGTGCGGATAAACTGGAGTGGAGATGCAGGCCCCATTTGAAACCGGCTCCAGTGTTGGGTGCAGTAATTTCTCCACTCCTGGGGCAGGTAGGGTGCATCTCCAGCTGTTTTGAGGAAGAGCTTTGAACAAAGAGTTCAAAAGCAAAATAGGAAGTGGAAGCTCATAGGGTGGCTGATGGCTGGGGAGGAGCAGACAGGAGCCAATCATAATGAAGGTCACTGCATCAGCCTGCCTCTCAGGTTCCTGCGGCCCAGGGGAGGAGGATCATAGATCCAGGGGGCGGGAGGGTGTATGGCGCAGGTATGTCCTGATGCTGGGGAAAGCTGTAAACAGATCATCACACACACATACTGAATCTGCCCAAGGCTGCCTGGAAACTCTTCCGCATGCCTTTCAACTCAGTAAGTAGCCCAACACCAACTCAGCTGCGTAGATTCCCGGGTAACACAGAGGGTTTGAGACGCTGCGGTGAAGCCCAATGTCAGGTGCAGAATACGATGGAGACCGACCTGTGAAACCCACAGAGAATAAAGACGATTCCACAGTACCTAGTCACTGTAGCGGTGTTAGGTGCCGTCGAGTCCGATCCCACTCATAGCGACCCTCCGCACAGCAGAACCAACACGCCGGGTCCTGCACTATCCTCACTACAGTAAGTCCATTGCTGCTGCCTCTGTTTTCAATTCATCTCGTTGGAGGTTTTTCTCTTTCTCAATGATCCTCTATTCTACCCCAAAGTACGTGAGACAAAGTCTTGCACCCTCACTTTAAGGAGCACTCTGGCTATACTTTTTCCAAGACAGATGTGTTTATTCTTATGACAGTCCGTGGCACTTTTAATAGCTTTCTCCGGTGACATAATTCAAATGCATGGATTCTTCTACTATCTTCCTTATTCATTATTCAACTTTCACATGCATGAGGTGATTGAAAATACCATGGCTTGGGTCAGGTGTCCCTTAGTCATTGTGGGATGGTATTAAATACAATTAAGCAGATTGTGTGCATGTGCCAGGCCAGTCCCCATCTAACTGCACAGGACATTGGTGAGCCTTCGAAACCATCTGGACTTCTGGCCTTTGGGTTACCCCCAGTCTCCACCAAAGAAGCATCTCTATAACTGGCCCCCCCTCCTCTCATGGTCCAGATATCTCTATGAAACTGGCCAAAGGCCCCTAGATGATTTGTTGGTGGTTGTTGGTAAGTGCCGTCGAGTCGGTTCCGACCCATAGTGAACCTGTACAGGGTTTCTGATGCTGTAAATCTCTATGGGAACAGAAAGCCCAGATGATGACCAGCCTCCAAATCTGAACCAGCTCCCTTCTGTTCACTTTATCCTTCATGTTTCAAAACCAAGAAAAGGAGGATCATGGGTCCCTTTAGAGCTGCCATCTCTGGGGGACTCAGACAGTTAAAGTGCTCAGTCACTAACCTGGAGATTGAAGGTCCCACTCACTCTACCCAGAAGTGCCTTGGAATCCCTCTGAAAAGTCAGCCTCGGAAAACCGTATGGAGCACAGTTCTACTCTGATTCACAGGGTCACCAGAAGTCAGAATCAGCCTATCACCAACTGGTTTGGGTTTGGGGGGTTTGGGACTCGATGGCACCTAACAACAACAGGCACCTGTCGAGGACCATTGAAGTCTACCTTCTAGGAAGATTGTGTGGGAAGGCGTTGAGCCATCTAAGCCAGGCGTTTGGAGACCAGGGAGAAAATCCAGAGCAATTGGGCTACTGTTCCCATCTTGAAACTGGTGTGGTTCTGGGGAGACCATACCATGTAATGTAGTGTTACAGACGCACATGGGGGAACAGGGGCCTGAGTTCAAATTCTACCTCTGGTGTGTTCCCTGGAGGCCTCTGGGTCAGTCACAACCCCACTGGGGTCCGCTTCTGCGCTCTCAGGGCTGGGCTGATGAGTCAGTTGGAGCAGCATCTGAGTTTGGGAAATCCCATCCTCCCTGGGCCCCATGCACCAACCACTGGGGTGCTGAAGGTGAAAATCCAGTGAGATTCTGCAGGGACCTGATCACTCCAGGTGCATGAGGATACCAAGTCAGTTTTAAACTAGGTTGTGAGGGACTACCTCTGAGTGGTCCCCGGAACACAACGCCATAGGGTCAGCGCAAACCCCAATGTTCTCCGGGCCACACCCTGAAGCCGGAACCGGGCCCACCTGTCCAGTGATTCTCCGCAGGTCTGACGTGAGGCTCCCCCGGACACACAGCCCCAGCACTGGCTATCCGCACAGGTCTGAGGTTGGAGCAGCGCCTGCGCCTGTATGTGTCAGAACCCACAGACTAAACCCCTTTGTGGTAGGTAGGTAGACTTGAGGGACCCATCCTCCCTTCCCGGAAGCTCTCCACCTGCCAGGGCTTCCCATTTGGAGAGCAGACACCCCTCTGGGCACTGGGCGACTGACCTCTGGCCAGACACCCCTGACAAAGTGGCTATGGAAAACGAGCCAGGTGAGTACATGGAGACTATCATACACACATGCTGTTAAAACTCCATGAACTTAGTTCTGTATTATTGACACCCTACAATGGAAAGGGGAGTCCTGGTGTGGCCCTGTGGGCTCATTCACTGGGACAGAGCATCAGTGGTTCAAATCCACCAGCCGCTCTGCTCCTCAGAAGCCTTATACAGAGTGATTGAGTCAGAACCAACTTCACAGCACTTAACACCAACCACAATGGGAAAGGGTAGTGCAGTGACCCCACACGGTAAGCACTGGGGTGTAAGCCACAAGATCTGCAGTTTGAGCCCACCAGCTGCTCGGCAGGAGAAAGATGAGGCTTTCTGCCCTCAGAGCCTGAAAGCTTCAGAACCACTTACAGGGTCGTTGAGTCAGAACTAACTTTGCAACAGTGCGCTACACTGGAACATTACACCCAAATCGTCTTTTCCCACGTTAAACCTACTTTGTGAATACTGAGGTGCTTACTGTAAAAGAATAGGGCGAAATGAGGCAATAAACACAAAAAATACAAAGCACAGATTTAAAAAAAAAAAAAAAAAAACAACCTTTATTTTACAAATAGCATTTTGTATCCCCAAAGCATTTTCCAGGGCCTATTCCCCACGGCGCCCTGGTGATGTGGTGGTTAAGCGCTAAGCTGTGAACCAAAAGGTTGGTAGTTCAAACCCACCAGCAGCTCCGTGGGGGGAGAGATGAGGCCTTCTGCTGCCCTGAGGTCCACAGTCTTGGGGTCTATCCTGTGGTGGCAGCTCTACTAGGACCTATGGGTCACTATGTGTTGGGGCAGACTCGATGGCTGTGGGGTTTAGAGATTCCCCACAGACAGGGAGCCAACAGCCGGCACCCACAGCTGGGGCCCGGCATCTGAAGGCCTCTCCCCTCTCCGGTGGATCGGCTGCCTGTCAGCGGGGAAGTGTCCTCACAGTCACGGCGGTCAAGACAGGTCAGGCTGGCTCCGCAGTGGCTAGGAAGGGGATTGCTCCTCCCCGCGGATGCTCCGGTACTTGGCCATGTCTTCTGGGAATACTTTGGAAAGTTCTTGAATCAACAGGCTTTTAAATTTCTATGAAGAAAAATGCAGTCATGTCTTTAGCCCCATCACCCAAGTTAATGACTGCACACACAGAACGCCCCACAGACACTACACAAACACGCACATGGCACACAGCAGGCTCACGCTCCCTCTGGGTGAAGGCCCCGGCCTGTTAGTCCACTCCCCCTCCCCCCCCACACACACACCCCTGGTTCAGATTGTCACCAGCTCCTCTCACAGGCGCCAGCCTCTTGGTTGGAGACACCCTGCAGATGGCACTGGTCTTAACTCACACGGAATCTAACGATGACAGTCAGATTCCCCTAAAACCACCACCCACGTAATGTCCGGCCCAGCGCACCCCTGATGAACAAGACGTGGGGGCTGCAGGCGGAGCAGGGGTCACAGGGCGCCAACACACATCACGGGGCCCTGAGACGCCTCAGTCTCCTAAACACCGGGAGCCCTTGACAATCGTGACCCCTGCTACAATCATGCTATGATCTTGTTACACAGATGAGCCGGGGCTTTCTCCAGGGAGGGCAGCCGGGGTTCGCCATCCACTAGGCCACTCACCGACATGCACCTTCATCCCCTGTGAGAGCACCCTCCTCACAAACGAGCCCTTGCTCTACTCCACAGCCACGTCCTACTTGGCGTGTGCTGACCTCACGTTCCCTTCCTGCTGACCTCCCTCCACAGGAGCCCTGGCGGTGCACTGGGTCAAGCGCTGGCTGCTAACTGCAAGGTCAGCAGTTTGAGCCCACCAACTTCCACAGCGGTACGGCCTTGGAAACCCTACCAGGCAGGTCTCACTGTCCAGTGGGGTCACTGTGAGTCATGTGGACCCCACAGCAGTGGGTGTGCCCTGGTTTTTATCCGTTAGGGGACCTGGTGACAGGACAATTTAGTGCCCAGCTGCTAACTGAAACTCTGGTGGTTCAAACCCACTAGCCACTCCTCTGGAGATCACAGAGGCTTTAGTCGGTTGCTGTACCGATTTGGTCTCAGAAAACGAGAGCAGTCCCACCTGGGGAAAGGACTCGGAGGCAGTGGGCGTGGCCTTACCTTCATGGTGTCAATCTTGCCTTTCACCTGTTCGTTCTTGGCCAGAGCCCGCTCCAGGCACTCTTTGGTGTACAGCTGGGGGTTCCGGCCTTGATCAATGTATCTGCAAACCAAGCAAACCTGCATGAGTGCTCTCATGGGCAACACCTGGCTTCACCAGTGTTGGGAGCTGGGCTCAAAGCAGCGAGCAGGACATTAGGGCCTCTCTCATACGAATCATATCCAATGACAGAGAAGCTGGGACACCCAGCCCTGCTCCCACAGGACCCGAGAGACTTCCACACACCAGAGCCGCTGCATTCTGGTTCTGTCCCAGACTGAATCAGAGCCCAGTTTAAGGAGAGCCCCAGGTGAGTCTCTGCAGATTCGGTCCATCTGCGGTGGAAAGGCACCTTCTCAGCAGGTGGTGGACCAGGAGTGAACCTGCCACCTTGTAAAACCCTCTGTCTCCTTGCTGTTAGCGCCCTGGCACGCCATACAAGGCAGCTTTCAGGTGCTCACAGTGACGAGGAAGCAGCATGGGAGGATGTGGCTCCCACGGCAGGGCCCTGTGGAAGGGGTCAGGGGTTGACAGAGAGAAACCTCCCCCCAGTCCCTCCACTTCCACAAGGTGACTTTGTGGCTTTGAGTGAGGAGAAAGACGGAGCCACTTAGCTCTGTAAGTGACCGAACTGTTAACAGTCTCTCCCACCTCTCTGCAGTTTACAGGGGGGCTGCTTGCAATGATCAGCCCTTCTCCTCAACTCTAACCACGCACGAAGATTCGAGGATGCAGAACCCTGAGAAACCCCTCACACTACCACTGGAAGGGCCCCGACCTGTTCATGTCATACCCTAAGCAGTTCACACCACTCAGTCCAACAGGAGATCTGTACAGAGAACTGCCTGTAAGTAGACTCCCTGTGGGGGTTCTG